CACTGAAATTTGGCAAGTATGGTTTTATTTTTCTAACAGTGGCAAGAACTTTGTAAATCTTACATGATCAATTGTAAGAGAACTGAAATTTACATAGGGAGAATCAATCACCAGGCTATAATAATGCAGTCAGTCATACAGGTGTGTTTAGAGTTTCCTTAAATGGTCAAAACTTTTTCCTTTTTCACTGAAATTTCGCAAGTATAATTAGTTTTATATTTCTTGCAATGGCATAAACTATGTAAATCTTACATTATAATTGTAAAAGATCTGAAATTTACATAGGGAGAATCCATAACAAAGCTATATGCAGTCAGTCGTACCGGTGTGTTCAGTTCTCTTATATGGTCATAACTTTTTCATTTTTGAATGAAATTTGGCAAGTATGGGATTTTTTTTTCTTAGAAAAGCATGAACTTTCGAAATCTGAAATTATAATTTGAAAAAATATTAAAGGGCTAAAATTTTCTTGGGGAGAATGCATAATTATGTTATGCTCGAAGAGTCATAATGGTGAGATCCTCATAAAGGCAGTTTATACATGTAGTATATGATATAATAAATTTTTTTTAAAGGATAGGGATGTTAAATCAAACATTAAAAAATATATAATTCAATACCTTGGTACTTGAGAAGCCTTATTCTAAGTTGTTTTAAAATCCCTATCACAGGTATAATTAGTTATAATGACACCTTAGGGTATTTCACTGTGTATCCATTCCTGCAGGTAGAGTGCTAGCTCCAAGGCAATCACACCTGTACAAAATTAGCCTCTCCCTCACCTGGAATAAAATACCACCCGGTAAAAATTCTCTGCCTTTAAATGACCATTTCTTTTTCTTCTTTTTTTCTCAATCATATTAAGCCAATTTGGAAATTTATTTTTGTTGTTGTTTAAAATGTTGTTGAAATATTTAAGATAACTTTCTTATCTGCATTATATCTAGTTACATTTATATCCACATATATTACTTGCACTTACAAAAAGAAGACTAATGTTAAAATGTAAAATTTTACATACATGTATGTATCTTGTTACAGTGATGTTTATTAATCAAATTTAGTTGTCTAAAATGATATAATATATTACCTTTACAATATTAAAATATGTAGGAGTTGATGCCTCAGATTTAATTACACCGGGAAAACAAAGACAATCTGCGCATAATGGTATAAGAAAAATCAGAGGCATAAAGAAAAACCTTTGTAAAGGAGTTGACTCCTCAATTTTTTTAAAACCTTAAGTACGACTTGGTTTGTGTACGAGTTGACTGTAAATCATCTGAGATCTCAACTGCGCTTGGCAATCGTAGTAAAATAATACATCATTTGATGAATTGTCGCAACAGAGATGCAAGAACTCGGAAAGAAGAATTTGGTGATTTGATCAGATTTTAGTCAATAATTGATTTAAAGACTAAATTTTCAGGATTAATTCACGTACATTTAAATCAATTTAGTCTCATTCATATTCATTTCTTTGAGATATTGGTTTAACATGCTTGAATTAGTTCATTATCATCTCAACACAAAGTGAAGCAACTAGCAAGTGAGTATATAAATCAGTAAATGGTCAAAGTTATATCAACTGGTACAGATAGTATAGCTGTATATGAGCCTTGGGTAAATTCACCTTTCAACAGACACTAAACAGGTGTAAATAAAAAGAAATACATTTTATTATCAGAAAAAAGTTTTAGGAAGGAGCATGTTACATGTGAACAAAGGTACATGTTACATGTGAACAAATAATGAAATATGACTGTATCAAACACAATAACAGAAGTACAAATCTGTGACTTTGACACATTTTCAATTGAAAGACATGTAAAAAGTACTGTCAGAATTATGAAGTTCATATCTTGGATTCATTTATCATGTTAATTAATTATGTTAAATTAGCAGCTGTCATTATAATCATAATCATTCAGAGAAGTTAAAGAAATATATTGTAACATAGATAACCTGCGTAGACCTAGATATTCATATGATAGATACATGTAAAATATCATTTCAATGTGTACAACCACTGCAAAGAAAATGAATGGCAACTGATGGTAGACAGACAAATCATCAGTAGCAAGACAATATGCCTTATTGGGGGTAAATAACAAAAAATGATAATGAAAAAAAAATATTTTGAGAATACTACATGTTACATTCTTCAGCACTAGAAATAAAACACCACTCTTAATGGTGCTTAAGGTTACTTATTGTGGTTATTTCAGATTTGTTATATATTTAATAGGTTGGTGGGATAATTTCTCCCATCACATACCAAAAATATGGGATAAATCCTATATTGACATCAGTTAGTGGGATATTTTGTCCTGTGGGAAAAATAATCCCATTTTTGCCACAACCGTGGGATTTTTTTTCCCATGTGGGAGAAATTATCCCACAGTACTTTTTCTCCCATGGGATTTTGGTGGGATTTTTGGTGGGATGAAAAATCCCGCCATTCTCCCATGGGATTTTAGGTTTTGACAGAGGTTTATGAGAAAACTACTACAATGTGGAAGTTGAGATTGACATGATGAGGTCAGAATAAAAAATCCCATCAAAATATAGAAAAAAATCTAATGTAGGTCTTTTCGAAAGGGTACCTAAAAGTCCGGACTTTGTCGTGTCCGGACTTAAATGTCGCAGTGTTATATTCACTGAATTAAATATGCAGATAATCCTCTCTTTCATTAGTTGTTACCTTTAGACGTGTAAATTATTAACGTGAATGCCCTTGAAAAAAAATAGTAAAAGACACATACTTACCAGAGAAAATTTATAAAATTGTCTAGATATTTACCATCACTGTGAAAATCTCTGAGTAATAAAGAAATCCATATCCCCCAAACGGAAGTCATTTTGAAATCAAAAGTGAATTAGAAATTTAAATTAATCAGCAATCATGGACAAAAGCATAAGAAATATGCTTTGTTTTAAAGCCTTTCAAAAACGTCTGTCTAATATAAAGCACATACATTAGATTTATTCCAATCCACAACATATCTAAAGCATATATCAAGATAAAAAGACAGGGAAACAAACACTTAAATATGTTAAGTATTGTTGAGCATAAATCTTGCTGTAAGAATGGTCTCACTTACTGAACATGTTTTTGTAGTAATTTACCTGTATTTATGCCTTGTAAAGGTAATAGGCAAGCTCACTGCAAGAGACCAATTGCTGTTAATCACTGATATTTTTGGATCGGTTAGTGTATTGATACATATAATGATAACATTTGAAAATACGTTAAACCGCAACAAAACATTATACAAAACTTAGATAAAAAAAAAATTGACGTCAGCTATTCAAATAGAACGGCATTCAATCATAAATTTATGGTCTAATATTCTTGAAAGAATCACAGGAACGCAACAATTATCTTGTCCAAACTTTTTTATCAGATCATTTCAATGCCACTTCACAAGAGGTAATTTTGTTAGAAATCGGAAGATGAAACTTCACTTCTTTCCGTATTTGAATATATTAAACATTTAACTGATACATTTATTACTTCTTTTTTTCCGTAAATATTTGGCTAAAAATACTGTACGTCCAAGTTCCTAAAATTCATCTTTCATACTTTATCTTTTAAGAGCTATGATGCAGACAACGATGCGCTAAATCTAACGCTAAGAAATCGTCTGTAAATCTGACAATAAAATAAAAGTATGGTCCTCAAAGATTAAATGAATAATGATACGGAAATTAAAAGAAATTCATTCAAGTCTGTCTTTTACTTCAATTGTAAGTTTTGAGATCAAAAAACAGTGAAATACAACTGACATATGCTCTATGTATATTTCAAAAGTTGTTAAAAATGCATTTTAAAATAATAATAAAAAAAAAAACAAAATGATTTAACACTACATAAACAATGCTCACTATTTTGATTATTAAAAAAAAGAAAAAAAAACTTATGAAAAATTTTGAATAGTTGATAATCTCTCTCGCTCTCTCTCTCTCTCTCGGTCTCTCGCTCGGTCTCTCTCTCTCTCAGATGATGAATTGAAACGAACATTTAAAAAAAATGATATTGAGTGTTAAATCGCTATAAATAATAGATATTTGCAATTGTTATCATTATATACAAACCAAGAAAGAAAATAAGGCATTTTTCATAGTTGCATTTATAAATCAACATTACAAATAAAAACCGTTTTCAACTTGTCAGGTAAAATCGAAATTCCATCACAAATTCAAAAGTTAAAATTTTAACAAACTTAGACGTAGATTTAATTTAGGTCAGCCATCATGAATACAACTTAGTAGAATACACATTGTACATGCTCCTTGATGAAACGGTCGATGGTGCAAACCTCAACCAGGCGTAACCTAAGTCGATAAAATGTAGATCTCAGCTTCCTTTTCGCCAAGTATTCGGAACGTTGAAATGAAATTTGCGGGCTTTTGGTTGATGGTATATTGTTTAACGTCCCTCTCGAGAATTTTTCTCTCAAATGGAGACGTCACCGTATGTCGATGAAGGGCTTCAAATTTTTACCTTTAGTCGGCACTCAGGGCCATTGAGCAATGAGAATCTTTATCGTGCCATCGCCTGTCTGCGACACGGGGCCTTGGTTTTCTAGGTCTCATCCGAAGGACCCACAGCCTTGACCTCAAAGTGCCGAGTGCATAGCAAAGGAACAGTTACTACCATTTTTTTTATCGACTTAGGTCAGTCTCGGCCACGTTACGAACTCAAAACTTCCTAATCACGGAGTGAGCGCCAACCGACTGAGCTACCGTGAACGTTTTTTTTTCAACCCTCGAACCAAACTATCTGCCTAAGGTCGTTACAGTTTGGTTCTTGGGTCCGACAAAATGCATGCGGGCTTTTGGATGAGACCTTAATCGAGGTTGTTTGTTGAAAATGTCTTTCACACAAAAAGGTCCATTACTGCTTAATGTACCTTCTTGACAAGTAAAAGTCTAAATTTGAGCCCTTCAGAAATATATGTTGATAATTTTATATAAGTTAAATATTAAAGGGGGGATGTCATTAAATCAATAATTCTTTTATTTAAACAATCACTTGAGTTCATCATAATGAGAAGGTTGACTCAATTGTCCAAGTTCTAGATAACCTGCATTAACTTCCTCTTCGGCATACATAGCTGTGTTAGCATATCGTATTGAATTTTGTCGTCTGGTTTCCTGCTTTTCTTTGTTACAAAAATTTTGTCTGATATTCCTGCAAAATTAGAATACTTAATGAAAAAGAAAGTGTAAAATGCACAGAAAATAAGAAAAAAAAAATACTGAAAAAAATTAATGTAAATATTTTTTCACTTTCATCTTTTGTCATGCATATCTTTATAATAATAATAAAAGTTACCCCAAAATCAGAATAATATTGACAATAATACTTATACAGAGTGTTGCAATAACTCCATAGAGAGCTGTTGAACAGTTCTCTAACATCTCGTTGATTTCTTAAAATTAAAAAAAAAAATCTTTTTTTTAATCTTTCATAGCAGGTTTTTAAAAAATTAAATGAAAAAATGATGATATTCATAAAAAATATAATGTTCAAATTTGTATCCATTTATTTGAAGTTGTTGATAAACTAGAAAAATAAAATAAAACTTTTCTTTACCAGAAAAAGGTTTGTCATCTGTAAGATTGCTTTGGAGTTCCCTCATACACGACCCGTTGTTTGAAAAACAGATTCTGTTTAAACAATTGGACTACATAGTTGATCACATTGTGGTCCGTAATGAGATTGGCTGCATCTTACATATAGATATCATGCAATGTTCAGTGTTATTCAAAATGAAAATAACAGAAATATGCATTTTTTAAATAATTCCTTTGTCAAAGAAATAACAACTATGTTTTACAGCTAGTATTTTTACTATTTAATTAAACATGCTGTAATTGCAATATTTACGGGAGTTACACAAAACCTTATAATTTGAAGCATGGAAAAAACATAATGCTCGACATTAGTGACACAAATATGCACCAAGTATTTAGAATTATAAGAGGTATTCTCCTAACAAGTATATCCACACTACTGATGTTGTTTTTTTCCATCAATGAAATTCAGTAACGTAAAAGAAAAAGCGTTGAATTTCAGTATCTCAAACATCGATATTTGGCTGTCCAAATAACATTTTTTAAATGATTTATATCAACATCACGATTCTTTGTATATTCTTATTCATGATTTATATTGGTACCATTCAGGCTTGTTAGTTATACACAAAAATACACAAAATTTAATTTCTGTCATCGAGGTTAGTTATTTAATTTAATTTCTCAATCGTCACTACTCTTCAGAGCAATGTTTTTGAGAGAAAGATTTCTTGAGTTATTGTATTGTTATGGTTTTATCAGCAAAATTTTTACCCTGCCATCCTAATTTACAAGCGCAACTACCATCTTCTTGAAGACAACCGGATAAACACCCATCAGCACAGTTTTGGAGACAATCAACTCCAAATTTCCCGGTTATACATCCAAAATCGCATAATCTACTGAATTTACTGCATCCCATTTTACAATTATAGTTACAAATTTTATTGCAATAAATTCCATATTTTCCAACCGGACATTCGCCTTCATATCCCTCTGAGTTTCTATTAAAAGTTGACGGACATGATAAACTTCAACTCTTCACATTTATCTGAATAGAACCCATTTATACATCCATATGTGCAGGATCCAGTTACATCGTCACAAGTTCGTCTTTTACAATTAACACTACATAGCTTGGAGCAATCTGGTCCGTAGTGTCCGAATTCACATCCTGCAAAAAAAAAATCACGTAGTTCTTTGGTCGTCAAAGAATAAAAAACTTATTAACTTGAAAAATAAAAACCGTATAGTATTTTTCCTTCACATCTCTGGAAACAATTCAATTCAATTACAACCCTAACAGATAATTTTTTCAGACACAGCTCTCTTTTCTAAACATGAAATTTAACAAATCTGCGATATGATTTACAATTCATAAAAACGACAAAGGAAGTATATTAGATGTCTTATTTTGATGTAATCTGATAACATTGTAAATTAACGAATGTTTTTCTAGTTAAGATGACAGAACTTTGTTATTTGGAAAAGTCAGAAATGCACAGGGTATCTTTCAATATATAAAAGGTGCATATTTTCCTCATTTTTTTTTATCTAGATATAAGCTAATCACTACATGGAAAAAATATAATTCCTTGTATAAAAACGCTTCGGCTTTATGTTGAAGAGAATAGTTAATGACGTTTAAATACAACTAAGCCCAAAATTACCATACTTACTGTCGCATTTTTCTCCTGACCAATTTGGTTTACACCCGCCAATACAAACTCCACTTTGAAGGCATTCAATTTTTGCACAATTTCTTGTCGACGAAACATGACGAATCACAGAATGAACCATAAAACCATCTGTAGCAGCCAATACTACAGTGTCCATTTATTTTTCTACATTCTTGATTAAGGCAAGTGTTACTACATTTCACGTCGCACTTTTCTCCATAAAATCCTTTATTGCACGTCCCACAATGCCCATTTGATTTGTCACATGTATCACAATTTGGTTTCAGTGTTGATTATATTTTAAATTTATCCTCTCCGATTTTAATGCAAATCTGTCAGTGTTCTGCGCATGCGCGAATCACGTGATATAGGTGTTCACGTGACCCCCTCCGTAGCGTTTTGTCACAAAAACTGAAAAATGTTTTTGAGTTTTATATTTCTCTTTATATAAGTTAGTTTTTATAACAAAAACAGTTTATTTGTCAGAAATGGTCTAATATTGGCAACAGAATGGGTAGATAAGAATATCCTTTCCATAAATAAGCGTGGTGACCATCAAAACCCAAATCTTCTGTCTCGGAAGAGACGTTTGTTCAAGTGGGATAGATAATGGGTCCCTTCTTCTTATCATATCCAATATGTTTTAAACCTAAGGTAAACGATATCTTAGATATTTAATAATTATTTTATTGTTAAAATATTCAACTATTTTGAAATTGTAAATTGGACGTCTTTGATAGGAAATTGCTTAATTAAAAACACACCTCCTTTAAAACTTGCTTACATTGGGCGACACAAGTTTAATTTTTAACCATCCGCTTTCCGTCACCAAAACGACCAATCCAATCATTGATTGAATTTATAGGAAGTCATATGACTTAATAAACTGTGTACAAATTATTTTACGTTACTTTCAAGGGATTTCTAAAATATACAATAAATTTTACAGTCTTTTTTTAAATGAGAACGACTGACACAGCCATTTTTCGTCACAAGTGACCTACAAAGTGACTTCATTTTCACATTGTGACGTCACAAACAAGGAGCAAAACTATATTCAACATATGCTATTTATAGATTTTGTGTATGGCTATGGGTGTACCAAATTGTTTTCTAATCTAAATTGTGGTTTTGTAGTTATAGATATAGTTCGCGAACTTTTTTATCACCCCTCGTATATGTTCTCTGTGCAATTCTATGATAAATCAATATGCATTCTTTTCAAAAACATGTTTCAAGTATTTATTTGATCAGATCATTTCAATGCCACTTCACAAGGGGTAATTTTGGTAGAAATCGGAAGATTAAACTTCACCTCTTTCCATATTTGAGTATATATAACATTTATCTGATACATTTATTACTTACATTTTCCGTAAATACTTGGCTAAAAATACTGTAGGTCCAATTGTGTTCTTAAAATTCATCTTCTATTTTTCATCTTTTAAGAGCTTTGATGCAGACAACGATGCTCTTAATCATACCGCTAAGAAATCATCTGTAAATCTGACAATAGAATAAAAGTATGGTCCTCAAAGCTTAAATGAATAATGATACGGATATTAAAAGAAATTCATTCAAGTCTGTCTTTATTTCAATTGTAAGTTACAAGTTTAAAAAACAGTGAAATAAAACTGATATATGCTCTACAAGTATATATATATTTCAAACGTGGTTGAAAATGCATTATAAAACCGAAAACCAAATGATTAACATGTACCACTATTAAAACAAGGATTACTATTGTAATGATTTAAAAAAAAGAAAAATATATACTTTCGACATATTTTGAATAGTTGATAATATCTCTCTCTCTCTCTCTCTCTCTCTCTCTCTCGTGTAAAATGGTTACTTGTTGCTCTTTTTCATAACTTGGTGAATGCAAACAGATGATGAATTGAAATGAACATTAGAAAATGATATTAAGTGTTAAATCACTTTAAATAATATACATTTACAATTGCAAATCATTATATACAAACCAAAAGCGCAAATAAAGCATTGTTCATTGTTGCATTTGTGAATCAGCATTACAAAAAAAAAAACAAAAACATTCTCATCTTCTCCCGTAAAAATGAAAATTCCATTACAAATTCAAAAGTTAAAATTTAAACAAACTTAGACGTAGATTCAATTTAGGTCACCCATCATGAAGACAACTTAGTGGAATATACGCTCTTTGATGATACGGTCGTGGGTTGAAACCTCAGCCACGCAAAACCTATCGATAAAATGTAGATCTTCATTTTCGCCAAGTACTCGGAAGGTTGAAATGAAATTTGCGGGCTTTTGGATGAGACTTCAAGGTTTTCTAATGGGGAGGGAAAATGTCAATAAATCAATCAATTTTTATTCAAACAATCACTTGAGTTCATCATAATGAGAAGGTTGACTCAATTGTCCAACTTCTGGATAACCCGCGTTAACTTCCACTTCGGCATACATAGCTGTGTTAGCATATCGTATTGAATTTTGTCGTCTGGTTTCCTGCTTTTCTTTGTGAGAAAAATTTTGCCTGATAGTCCTGCAAAATTAGAATAGTTAATGAAATCAAAAGAGTAAAATGTACAGAAAATAAGAAAAATAAATACGAAAAAAAATTAATGTAAATATTTTTATACTTTCATCTTTTGTCATGCATATCTTTATAATAATAATAAAAGTTACCTCAAAATAAGAACAATATTGACAATAATACTTATGAAGAGCGTTGCAATAACTTCATAGAGAGCTGTTGAACAGTTCTCTAACTTCTCGTTGATTTCTTAAATTAAAAGAAAAAATCTTTGTTTTAATCTTTCATAGCACGTCTTCTAAAAAAAACATGAAAAAAATAATGATGTTCATAAGTAATATAATGTTCAATTTTTTATCCATTTATTTGAAGTGGTTGATAAACCAGAAAAATAAAAGAAAGGTATTCTTTACCAGAAAAAGGTTTGTCATCTGTAAGATTGCTTTGGATTTCCCTCATACACGACCCGTTGTTTGAAAAACAGATTCTGTTTAAACACATTGGACTACATAGCTGATCACATTGAGGTCCGTAATGAGTTTGGCTGCATTCTGCATATAGATATAATGTTATGTTCAGTATTATTCAAATTGAAAATAAAAGATATATGCCTTTTTTTAAAATTATTCCTTTAATTTGTCAAAGCAATAACCATTATGTTGTGCAGCTAGTATTTTTACTATTTAAGTAGACATGCTGTAATTGCAATATTTACGGGAGTTACACAAAACCTTATAATTTGAAGCATGGAAAAAACATAATGCTCGACATTAGTGACACGAATATGCACCAATTATTAAGATTTATAAGGGGTATTCTCCTAACACGTTAATTCACATTACATTACCATCACATTTTTGACCCTGCCATCCTAATTTACAAGCGCAACTACCATCTTCTTGAAGACAACCGGATAAACACCCATCAGCACAGTTTTGGAGACAATCAACTCCAAATTTCCCGGTTATACATCCAAAATCGCATAATCCACTGAATTTACTGCATCCCATTTTACAATTATATTTACAAGTTTTATTGCAATATGTTCCATATTTTCCAACCGGACATTCGCCTTCATATTCCTCTGAGTTTCTATTAAAAGTTGACGGACATGATAAACTGCAACTCTTTTCACATTTATCTGAATAGAACCCATTTATACATCCATATGTACAGGATCCAGTTACATCGTCACAAGTTCGTCTTTTACAATTAACACTACATAGCTTGGAGCAATCTGGTCCGTAGTGTCCGAATTCACATCCTGCAAAAAAAAAAAATCATGTAGTTCTTTGGTCGTCAAAGAATAAAAAACTTATTAACTTGAAAAATAAAAACCGTATAGTATTTTTCCTTCACATCTCTGGAAACAATTCAATTCAATCACGACCCTAACAGATAATTTTTTTCAGACACAGCTCTCTTTTCTAAACATGAAATTTAACAAATCTGCGAAATGATTTACAATTCATAAAAACGACAAAGGAAGTATATTAGATGTCTTATTTTGATTTAATCTGATAACATTGTAAATTCACGAATGTTTTTCTAGTTAAGATGACAGAACTTTGTTATTTGGAAAAGTCAGAAATGCACAGGGTATCTTTCAATATATAAAAGGTGCATATTTTCCTCATTTTTTTTTTATCTAGATGTAACCTAATCACTACATGGAAAAAATATAATTCCTTGTATAAAAACGCTTCAGCTTTATGTTGAAGATAATAGTTAATGACGTTTAAATACAACTAAGCCCAAAATTACCATACTTACTGTCGCATTTTTCTCCTGACCAATTTGGTTTACATCCGCCAATACAAACTCCACTTTGAAGGCATTCAATTTTTGCACAATTCCTACTACATGGCGCTTCACAGGATGAACCATAAAACCCCCTGTAGCAGCCATTACTACAGTGTCCATTTATTTTTCTACATTCCTGATTAAAGCAAGTGTTACTGCATTTCATGTCGCACTTTTCTCCATAAAATCCTTTATTGCAGGTCCCACAATGTCCATTTGATTTGTCACATGTATCACTGCTGCAGTTTCCACAAGAGTTGTCACAGAAAATCCCATAATAACCCGGTACACATCCCATTCTACAGTACCCACTGTCTTGCGCACATGTTCGTTTATAGCATCTAATAAACAAATAACATTCTTTTTCGCATCTCTGTCCATAATACCCCTCTTTACAGGAGGAACACAGCCCGTTAGTTCGATTGCAGACTCTTCTGGAACAAGAAGATGGACATTCATTTAGACATTTATTTCCCCAGTATCCTTCGATACACCCACGGGTGCAAATTCCATTCCCATCGAATTCCATGTCTATACAGTTAGGACTGCATGGGACCACGGCTGAAAAAAACAAAGAATTTACTTTTAAACATTCTAAGTAGATTATTATGATAAGTACTGGCTTTTAAAGTTGACAGTTTACTTGGACATTTAAACTTGTATCATGTACGGAATTGCAGAATTAATAATACACCTTTCTAGTGGTCATATGTATTATGTTAGTGGCACTTTCATGTAAAGGACGGGAGGTGGACGTAGGGTGGTTTTTCGCTTTCTTTAAGGAGAACTCATATGTGCATTGATTAATTGATTGTTTACTGTTTAACGGCCCTCTCCAGAATATTTCACTGATATGGAGACGTCACCATTGTCGGTAAAGGGCAGGAAATTTAGGCCTTTGCTCGGAACTTACGGCCTTTGAGCAAGGAGGGGTCTTTATCGTGCCACACTTGCTGTGACACAGGGCCTCGGTTTATACGGTCTCATCCGAAGGACCGCCCCATTTAGCCGCCTTTTACGACAAGAAAGGGGGTACAGAGGACCTACTCTTACCCGGATTCCATCAAGACTATATGAGCATTGAAATAAAGTGTTATTTTCGTTGAAACAAATGTTAAAAAATTATATCGTAAAAGCCATCGTAAATTGTTCTAGTGTGAAAGTAAGTCTCAACTGTATAAGTCAGTGCTCCACGCAAAAGTCCATTAGTAGCAGTGAATGACTGACACTACTTTGCAAAAAATAGTCACAAAAGCACTAATTGGGAAGGATAATCAGGAATAATGTTGCCTAAACCATATTTGTGTGTTATTGTGAAATGTAATTCATTTGAAATACTTTCTTCTTTTCTTTACCCCTCCCCCTATCTCGCGAAAAAAATTAAAAGCTGCAAGATAGATATCATAATTATTTGAAAGGAGTTAAAAAGGAATAACATAACGCAGCTAGGATAAGGCTGCCCGTAAAATATCAAACTGTTCAAACTGTAGTTACTTCTCTGAACTACATAGATATGACGTCATAATAGAATATGACGTCAAGTCACTGCATACTTGAACTGACATGACGGGGAAAGTGTCATAATTATTACAGGGCATGTAGATTTATTATCGGGATTTGTGTTTAATTTAATTGTAAGGGTTATTTTTTAATCTTGTGTGTGCTGTTATAATGTTTAACATTCGATATTTAAATGTGTCTATTCCTTTTGCTTGTTCGATATGCATATATTCAAGCAATAGCAAAAGATTATGTTTAAAACGCTCCCCTTACACTTCCGTAGACAGAGTTAGAATTTATGAATCGTGTATATATTGGACTGGCACAAGTGAAAGACAAGGATAAATAAAAGATATATTATGCGTGAATCTAACAGAGAAGTATTTCTTCTAACTGAATTTTGCTGGGGGATTGTGTGTAGTTTATCCGTTTTAGTATAAATCGCGATAAAGTATGGAAAATACCCCTTTTTACGTTGGTAATTTTAATTTATCATAAAATATTTTCTTAAGAAGTAAAAATGAAACATACCCCAGCACTTTTTATGTACCAGGGATAACGATGAATTGATCTATATAAAAACTTTGCACAATATTTTCGTTTTGCACTTGTGCTGAGATGATTTTTGTGCAACATTTAAGAATATCAAAAATATCCGTTACTTGATTAACACAGTCATCTGACATCACAGAAATGCTTTCTTATAATACCTGATTAAACAGTTATCTCAAGTTGACTGCAATTTCAAACCAGGATCACATATTTAAATCAAGCAAAAATAAAATGTATATTTTGAAAACATTTTAAGCCTTCGGACAGCCTTATCGCGAAGGTTAAACATATTTCATACGTTTCGACGGCGTCTTTAAAAGAATGCAAAAAATGAAGAATTTACTTGTCGGAATATGTTTTCATGTACTAAATCATAGAATAGATGAGAATATTATTCTTCAGAATAATAAAAAATGTGTAATTAAAATCAAAACTTATATGATTGTTTTTATCATAAAGAGTATGTAGTATTATTTTTAGTCAATATGTGCGGACGTAAATAAAAAAAGCAATTACATTTAAACAGAAATATGTAACAAAACAAAGCAACACTGATGAGCGCAAAACAGTAATTTACAATGCAACCAGAAAGTACAATTCTCATTTTTTATATATTGTTTCTTAAATGTACAAGAGCAAATGATATACAAATTATTTTATTGATATTCTCGATCTACAGAAAAACTTTGTTTAATTCTTTTGTTATAATTTAGTCATTGGAGAAAAGCATTTTTTCCTGTCAGATATTATAAATGTTCACTAAATTATGTATGCAATTGTTCCTCTCTTTTATCAGTCGTTACCTTTAGACATGTAAATTATTAACGTGAATGTCATTGAAAAAAAATAGTAAAAGACAAATACTTATTAGAGAAAAGATATAAAATTGTCTAGATATTTACCATCACAGTGAAAATTTCTGAGTAATAGAAAAATCCACATCCTCCAAAGGACATCCATTTTGAAAGCAAAAGTAAAATAGAAATTTGAATTAATTAGCAAGTATGGACACAAGTCAGAA